AAGTTTTAACCAAAGCAATCAGAGAAGAAAAAGAAATAAAAGGAATCCAAATCAGAAAAGAAGAAGTAAAACTGTCACTCTTTGCAGATGACATGATACTATAGAGTATCCTAAAGATGCCACCAGAAAACTACTAGAGCTAATCGATGAATTTGATAAAGTTGCAGGATACAAAATTAATGCACAGAAATCTCTTGCATTCCTATATACTAATGATGAAAAATCTGAAAGAGAAATTAAGGAAACACTCCCATTTACCACTGCAACTAAAAGAATAAAATACCTAGGGATAAACCTACCTAAGGAGACAAAAACCTATACGCAGAAAACTATAAGACAGTGATTAAAGAAATTAAAGCTGATGCAAACAGATGGAGAGATATACCATGTTCTTGGATTGGAAGAATCAACATTGTGAAAATAACTATACTACCCACAGATATCTACAGATTCAATGCAATCCCTATCAAACTACCAATGGCATTTTTCACAGAACTAGAACAAAAAATTTCACAATTTGTATGCAAACACAAAAGACCCCAAATAACCAAAGCAATCTTGAGAAAGAAAAACAGAGCTCGAGGAATCAGGCAACCTGACTTCAGAGTATACTACAAAACTACAGTAATCAAGACAGTATGGTGCTGGGTAAAAACAGAAATACAGATCAATGGAATGTTATAGAAAACTCAGAGATAAACCCACACACATATGGTTACCTTATCTTTGATAAAGGAGGCAAGAATATACAATGGAGAAAAGACAGCCTCTTCAGTAAGTGGTGCTCAGAAAACTGGACACCTACATGTAAAACAATGAAGTTAGAAGCCTCCCTAACACCATACACAAAAATAAACTCACAGTGGATTAAAGACCTAAATATAAGGCCAAACACTATAAAACTCTTAGAGGAAAACATAGGCAGAACACTCTATGATGTAAATTACAGCAAGATCCTTTTTGACCCACCTCCTAGAGAAATGGAAATAAAACCAAAAATAAACAAATGGGACCTAATGAAACTTAAAAGCTTTTGCACAGCAAAGGAAACCATGAACAAGACGAAAAGAGAACCCTCAGAATGGGAGAAAATATTTGCAAATGAATCATCAGACCAAAGGATTAGTCTCCAAAATTTACAAGCGCTCATGCAGCTCAATATCAAAAAAACAAACAACCCAATCCAAAAATGGGCAGAAGACCTAAATAGATATTTCTCAAAGATGATATACAGATTGCCAACAAACACATGAAAGGATCCTCAACATCAATAGTCATTAGAGAAATGCAAATCAAAACTACAGTGTGGTATCACCTGACACCAGTCAGAATAGCCATCATCAGAAAAGCTACAAACAGTAAATGGTGGAGAGGGTGTGGAGAAAAGGGAACCCTCTTGCACTGTTGGTGGGAATGTAAATTGATACAGCCACTGTGGAGAACAGTATGGAGGTTCCTTTAAAACTAAAAATAGAAGTACCATATGACCCAGCAATCCCACTACTGGGCATATACCCTGAGAAACCATAATTCAAAAATCGTCATGTACCACAATATTCATTGCGGCACTATTTACAATAGCCAGGACATGGAAGCAACCAATGTGTTTGTCAACAGAGGTATGGATAAAGAAGATGTGGCACATATGTACAATGGAATATTACTCAGCCATAAAAAGAAACGAAATTGAGTTACTTGTAATGAGGTGGATGGACCTAGAATCTGTCATACAGAGTGAAGTTAGAAAGAGAAAAACAAATACTGTATACTAACACATATATATATGGAATCTAAAGGAAAAAAAAGAAGTTCTGATGAAGCTAACACAGGACAGGAATAAAGACACAGATGTAGAGAATGGGCTTGTGGACACGGGGAGTGGGAAGGATAAGCTTGGACGAAGTGAGAGAGTAGCATTGATATATATACAGTACCAAATGTTAAATAGCTAGCTAGTGGGAAGCAGCTGCATAGCACAGGGAGATCAGCTGGGTTCTTTGTGACCACCTAGAGAGGTGGGATAGGGAGGGCGGGATGGAGACGCAAAAGAGAGGGGCTATGGTGATATATGTGTACATATAGCTGGCTTGCTTTGTAATACAGAAATTAACGCAACATTGTAAAGCAATTGTATTCAAATTAAGGTGTTAAAAAATTAATTATCTAGTTATTCTACAGTCTATGATGCACCTAGGGATTCCTGGCGCTATTTCAGCAGTTCTGAAAACTCCAGAAATTACAAATTAGGAGTTCCTGATTTAAGGGGTCATCTCTCAAGATGTCACCTGCTACTTTACATTCCAAATATTCTTTTGTTTTTGTCTCAAAATGCCTTCAGTATTTTAATGTGAAACTTTTCTGTGTCCACATTTTGATATAGTGTGCACATATGCATGAAAAGGTGGGGAGATCATTTTCGAGTATTAAATTAATCTGTCCAATTTGTAAACAAGTTGCTTTTCTACCTTCTTCCAAAATACTGTTTATTGAATTCAAGCTAATTACAGTACTATCTGTAGTTTTAGATAAATCCAACATCTGATGTTAACTTTCGGCAGTTTTTTTTACACTGTCTAGTGATGAATATTAAAATGGATATTTGAAAGTCGTTCCTGGAGGCCTAGACAAAAATGAGAATTGCCGAAGGAAAATCTACCAAATCCATTCATTTGTTGTTCCCAGCCGTTATCTCACTCAACCTGTCACCAGCATTTTATACGGTTGATCATATCTTCCTCCTGTATTCACTCTCCTTTGGCCTCTGGGACCCACACTGCTTCTAGTTTCTGTCTACATTACAGGCTCTTCCTTTCTCCTCCACCTCTTTATGTTGGAGGGACCAAGACTTGCTCAAGACCTCCTTGTTTTCTGTCTGTCCCTTCTTCCTAGTGATCTTTTCAGTATCGTAGTGTTCAACCCCATCTATATGCCAAGGACTCCTAAATTTTATACTTCCAGTCCAGATCTAGTTCCCCAAATTTAAACCTACATATTTAATTGCTTGCTAGATATCTCTACTTGGATGTCTCATAGGCATTTCATACTTTATAGGTTCAATACCACATCCCTGATCTTACCTCCAGAACCAGCTTCCCCCATGACCTTTTTCATCTTAATGATAACTACGTTTAACGAGTTTCTTAGGCAAAGAAGCTGGACTCCTCTGTTTCTCTTATGCCCCACCTCAATCCACCAAGGAATCCTAATTGTCTGTTCCTTCTCACTACCTCTATTGTCATCACCCTGATATGAGGTACCATCATCTATTCCTTACATCATTACAGCAGCCTCCTAACTGGTCTTCCTGCTGCTACCCTTGCCTTCTTGGAGCCTCTTCTCCAAGTAGCTGTCAGAATGATTTTTTTTTTAATGTATAAATCAGATCATGTCACTCCAAAATCTGCCAGTGATTCCTCATTCCCCTTGGCATAAAAGTCAAAGCTCTTGAATGGCCAAAGAGCCCTACATTATCTGGGTAGCTATTACCTCTTTGACTTTACCTCTTGTTTCTTTTAGTCCGTTCTCAAAATATACCAGGCACACCCCACTTTAGTATCCTTACACTGGCTGGATGTCTTCATCTCCTATGAGTTTTTCTTCAAGTGTGACCTTCTCAGTGAACCTTTGCTCAAATGCAGTCTTCTCAGTGAACCTTCTAAGTGAAGCCAGTGCCGATGACTTTAATTAAAATGGCAAAATAATGCATTCTAACATTCCCAATCCCCATTATGCTGCTTTTTGTTGTTGTTTTTGATGGCACTTATTACCTTCTAATAAACCGTATAATTCACCCTGCTCAAATTCAAGTGCTCATACAAAGGTTCCTTGCCAGTTTGATTCACCGACGTATCTTAATGTGTATTACCGTGTCTGGTACATCGTAAGCACTCAACAAATATTGAATGAATGAATACATACATATTTAATGTATGCAAATCAAACATTCACTTTTAAATTTATGCTAAATTCCAACCTATTCTCCAATTTGTCAATTTGATTAATAAATATTATGGGTCTCCTGTATATCTAAAAGCCTATATCTGTTGCTTGAGGGAAAGATTTAAAAGTATGTAAGTGATCCACTTAACTGTTAGGTAAGATGGTGTAGCAGGTTTGGTTCCCCAGGAAGCAGATCCAAAGGTGGAGATTAGTGTGTGGGAAGTCGATGAGGCTGTGCTCTTCTGGAAGGGAACAGAAGGAAGTAGGGAGGGAAGTCAAGCTATGAAGCTGTTTCAGTAAAAGCCTCAGTTGACCCACACACAGCAGTTCTTAGAATGGAGTTATCTCCTTTGGAATGAGAGGCTCTGGTCCTTATATCCCCTCAAAGACTAGTCATCAAAAAGAGGCACCATAATAAAGTTGGCATGACCTTGGGAGAGGCACCCCTCATCTGCTGAGGCCATTCCTGAGGGAACTGGTATCTGAGAGCTGTCTGCAGACATCACTCCCAGAAGCAGGATTAGTCGATTCTCAATTCTTAAAGGTGGATTTAGATGGTACATCAGAGCACATAGCACAGACAGGAATGCAACTAACTACAACATGTGGTAGAAAGTGACAGTGTCTTAAGTTTTATAAAAGGACTGTAGATAAACATTATTTATAATACTAAAACTTGAAACTACCTAAATGTTTAATAAGACGTGACTGGTCATATAAATTATGGAGTAGCCAAGCAAGAGAAGGTTGTGCAGATATTAAATATCATGCCCTTAAAAATATTTAAGGAAATGTGAAATATGTAGTAAATTGTGCTAAGAAAAGAAAGGGGCAAAATTATATAAATTGGACAAATACTTACAGACATTCTTTAAAGGCTGGAGGGAAATGCACAGCACCAAAAGAGTGATCACTTCTGAATGGGGTAATGGTGATCTGTTATTTACTTCTTTTCTGTTTTTTCATATGTGTTTAATGAAAGTGTATTTGCTTTTATAATCATATAGGTAACTTCTTAAAGAGGGATACAATGAAATATACTATTTTCTTTCTATTTTCAGATATTTACATCCAGAAGGATTGCCCTCTGACTATACAATCAGTTTTCTATTCCGGATTCTTCCTGATACTCCAGAGGAGCCATTTGCTCTTTGGGAGATTTTAAATAAAAATTCTGACCCATTGGTTGGAGTCATCTTAGATAGTAAGTATATTTATCTATAAAACATTTGCACACACATGTATGAGTAATGTATGTGGCCTGTCATCTTGCCTGGTTTGTGTGTATTGTAAAGTAACTCACTTATTTTAAGCTATTTGTAAATACGAATGATGAACTATGTGATAGTTGATTCATTCATTTATCTACTCATTATTTCAACAAATATTCATCGAGTTCCTACTATTTGCCAACACCAGGCTCTGGGATTCAGTAGAGAGCAAGGTGAGACATGCCGACTGCAGGAAGAGGACGCAACTTGATGCAGAAGAGGATAAGTGCGAGGGTTGGGATCAGAAGTCATTTTTCCTATACGGATAGGATAAGTGTAAGATGCCTCTTTTGGGTTCCTGGGCCCAATTCCAACATGTGTGTTGGGCGTGGTGGGTGAAGGAGAGGCTCCCACACAACACCAAGCAATTCTTGGACACCAGCAGCGTATCTGAGAATTCAACTCCAATCTGACACTATTTACCAGAGGTAGCATCAGATTCCACAGGTTGAGGGCTTGTTCCTATAAGACTGCCCTCCTCCCCCTCCATTTCAGCCACCAGTGGCAAGCTCAGTCTGCTACCAGCTATGCATTGGAGGTTTCAATAACCCGCTCCAGCTCAGGATGTCAACTGAAAGTCCAGATGTTTACCTGTACTTCTGACCCACAGTCTATAAATCAGAGGTTCCCACAACTTCCTCCTCGGGTTCAATTAATTTGCTAGAGTGGCTCACGGAACTCAGAGAAGCATTTTACATACTAGATTACCAGTCTATTATGAAAGGATATAACTCAGGAGAAAGGCCTGGGGAAGGAGGGGGGGAAGTTTCCATGCCCTCTCCACCTGCACCACTGTCCCGGCCCTTCCATATGTTTACCAACCTGGAAATTCTCTGAACCCCATCCTTTTGGGTTTTTATGGATGCTTCATTACATAGGAATGATTGATTAACTCACTGGCCATTGGCAATTGAACTCAGTCTCCACCCCCTCTCCCCTCCCTAGAAGTTGGAGGGGGTAGGGGGACTGAAAGTTCTAACCCTCTGGTCACATGACTGGTTCTCTAGGCAACCAGCCCTTATCCTTAGGTTACCTAAGGGCTTTCCAAAAGCCACTGTATTAACATAACAAAAGGCACATTTTTTTTTTGTTCTGACCACAGGAAATTCCAAAGGTTTTAGGAGCTGTGAGGCAGGAACCCTAGACAAAGACCAAGTATATATGAGAAATATATTTTGGTCATCTGAATAACAAATATATATTTCTTTTAAGTCACAATGTTGCAATGCCACTTTCATATCCTAGAAAAAAATGTCAGATTGGCAGCAGCATATTCTGGGAAGAATTCTGGGGTGGAGATATAAAATTGAAAGTTGCATATGTGAGATCATCTAGAGAGTAAGTCCAGAAAGAAAAGAGAATAGTTGTGAATGAGAAATTCCATTGTTTGGAGATTGGAAAGTTGAGGAGGAAAGAATAAAGGAAAGTTCTTAACCTTTACTCTTGGATGTCACAAATGATTATCACTTAAGAGAATTATCAAGTTTTTGGTTAATGTCACTGAGTTTTCTAAATATATTTTTAGTTTAGGATCCCAGTCAATCTGGGAATGAAAATTTGGTGGTTATTGTTAGGTATTAACTCGAACATTTGGATAAGAAAATTATTTTAAGCTATTTCCAACTAGTATTTGTTAAAGGACATTTCAGTACAGGGAAATAAATCAACAACTAAACATTGTGAAAGCATTTTGTATTGATTTTGAAACTAAGGGAAAGCTGTAGATTAAAAAGGTGTAAATTGCTAACTCTATATCCAACCAGGACTCCAAAACAAAGAAGTCTCTTGAAATGATTAATACATACTTGCTCCTTCAGAAAGCAGAATGAAAAATTGAATTGTAACCGGGGGATGAATTAGTGAGAAAAATGTTCCTCTCTTTTTGTAATAAAATATTCCTTGTAACATGAAGTACTCAAGAGTAGGAAGTTTTATTTTACTTGTTTGTTTGTTCATAATAAAAGACACGCTGAAATATCACTATTTTGGGGCAGTGTAAGTTACATGTCCTGGGAAAACTGGTTGCTTCAGTGGTTAAATAAGGCAAAGAGTGTGGTTTTTATTTCTTAAGATTTTGTTACCGAATTAAGTTGTATGAACCCTGCTCGGGGCCTAGCCTGGCCCATGCTCTCTGCCTTGGAGGGGGAGGGTTCTTTTTCCTTTCCAGTTTAAGTAGGTGAATAGCAAAACCGAAGCCGAGATTGACACAGCACAAGCTTTATTCAGTGGCTAAAGAAAGGAGAAGTGGGAACTAAGTTCATAGATCAACTTCTCACCCACCTGAGGAGAGAGATTTAATTTTTTTTTAAAACATCTTTATTGGAGTATAATTGCTTTACAATGGTGTTAGTTTCTGCTTTATAACAAAGTGAATCAGCTATACATATACATATATCCCCATATCTCCTCCCTCTTGCGTCTCCCTCCCTCCCACCCTATCCCACCCCTCTAGGTGGTCACAAAGCACTGATCTCCTTGTGTTATGCGGCTGCTTCCCACTAGCTATCTATTTTACATTCCGTACTGTATGTATGTCCATGCCACTCTCTCACTTCGTCCCAGCTTACCCTTCCCCCTCCCCGTGTCCTCAAGTCCATTCTCTATGTCTGCGTCTTTATTCCTGTCCTGCCCTTAGGTTCTTCAGAACCACCTTTTATTTTTTAGATTCCATATATATGTGTTAGCACACGGTATTTGTTTTTCTCTTTCTGACTTACTTCATTATGTATGACAGACTCTAGGTCCATCCACCTCACTACAAATAACTCAATTTTGTTTCTTTTTATGGCTGAGTAATATTCCATTGTATACATTTGCCACATCTTCTTTATCCATTCATCTGTTGATGGACACTTAGGTCACTTCCATGTCCTGGCTATTGTAAATAGAGCTGCAATGAACATTGTGGTACATGACTCTTTTTGAATTATGGTTTTCTCAGGGTATATGCCCAGTAAGTGGGATTGCTGGGTCGTATGGTAGCTGTATTTTTAGTTTTTTAAGGAACCTCCATACTGTTCTCCATAGTGGCTGGATCAATTTACCTTCTCACCAACAGTGCAGGAGGGTTCCCTTTTCTCCACACCCTCTCCAGTATTTATTTTTGTAGATTTTTTGATGAAGGCCATTCTGATTGGTGTGAGGTGATTTAATTTTAAAGAGTAAAGACAAAGAGAGGAAGAGTGAGGCTGACGATGGGGAAGCAGATGCATTAGTCTACCAGGGAAGAGGCAGGGTTTTTTCCAAGGGGCTGGGGTGCTACCTCCTTTTTATCCTTTTTTAGTCCTTAATGGCTGCCAGTAAGTAGGTGTAGGTAACATCCTAAAGTAGTAAATCACCGTATAACGGGACTCAAGGTCTGTTGGAGGTCAGATTCATCATCATCTTGGTCCCAGCTGGTTCCATCTGTTTTTTTTGTATTTTTTGGTTTTTTGTACCTTCCTTTCTTACCTCTGGACCTTTTAACTTAAAAATTTATGTTCAGTCCTGCTAAAGGTGGGGGGTTGGCAGCTTTTGAGCACGGGCAT